AATAATAATAATAATAATAATAATAATAATAATAATAATCTTTATTTATACCCCGCCACCACCATCTCCCCAGTGGGGACTCGGAGCGGCTTACACGAGGCCAAGCCCAAACAACAAATTACAATAAAGTAAAACCACAACACAACCAAAAACACAGACAATAAACAACATCATAATTACATAAAACATGTAAATACATAGCAATATAAAACTGCAATATGCGCAATCACAATGACAATGGGCAGGCTACATGTAATGATTAAAAGAGAGACTAATTAAAATTAATTACAACTCGGGTGAGTTAAAAGAGAGACAGATTATTTGCGGAGGAGGGCTCATTATAGCGGGGGTTGTGGAATCAAGTTTTCCCACAGAGGGGGGACAACGACATATACTCCAATGACAGAATGTTGAGGCTAAGCAGTAGTGTGGGATTGTATACCTACTCTCCAAAGGCGCAATGGAAGAACCGGGTTTTAAGGTCCTTTTTGAAGGTTTCTAGGGTAGGGGCTTCCCTAATTTCTCCAGGTAGTGAGTTCCAGAGTCGGGGGAGCTCTGAACTTTCTTCCAACCATAGGATCCTATGACTGTAAAACTATTAATATCTATGAGGCAGCATGGCCATTTGTTGGGAGGGCTTTCATTGTGTCTTCCTTTGTGGCCGAATGGGGTTGGACTAGATGTCCTTTGGGGGACCCTTCAGACCATAGGGTTTTCTATTATTCCCCAATAAATAAGATAAACAAAGGGAACCATTGCTGTTTTTGCCAAAGTTTCAGAAAGTCCCGGCTTCCTTTGTTACAGGCCGAAGGAGCGCTGCGGGAAGAGTGCATATGGAGATTGCAGCAGCTGCAAGAAATGGGGCGCCGGGAGCGGCTCATCAGGTCGGACATGGATCTGGCTGTGACACAGGTACGGGCGGAAGCGACACTTAGATTGCAATAAGCAAGGGAAGCAAATCAAATCATTTGTTTCAGACACTGACCAGCACAGGAAGTAAAAGTCACAGTTTCATACAAACTTGGTATGTTTAGTACACTAAAAATATAAATATAAATACTGAAGCACAATAGTAGGGCTGGGCGGTTTCGTTTCGTTAATTCGTAATTCGTTAAAAAT